ACAGCTATGTGAGCAGCAGTGCCAGGCACAGTGTAAGGCCTGTCAAGCACCTCTGCTCCAATTCATGGCATTTTTTCTCTTCCAAGCAGATAGCAGTATCTGTCCTACCCACCTGGAGCAAATATTTGAGAGATAAGCAGCACTGTTTGTGCTCAGCAGCAGTGACTGGACTCTGCTCATCACCGGGGACGCTTGGCTGCTGTGTCCTGCAGGGCAGTCTCAGGTCACGCTCAGTGTCCCACCTCTGAACAGCCCTCTTCTCCCTCTCTGTGGCATTTCCCACAGCCACCTGCTCCTCCTCCAGCTCCACAGCCGGGCCCAAAAGCCAAGCACAGCTGAGAGCCGCCCTAGAGCACAGGGAGCCCTGCAGAGGTTGCTGTGTGTGCACTGAGGGCAGGAGGGCACACGGGCAGGTGCAGCAGGGAGGGCAGCAGGTGCAGCACAGACCCACCACGTTTGCAGGACCCACAGACAGGCATTTCTCCCTTCTTCCCCTGTCCTCCCACAGAAGGAGGAAGGAGACACGTTTTAATGACAGTGTGCTGAAATGTGCGTTCCCTGCTGATTTGACATTGGGCAGAAAAAGTGTCTACAAAATCAATTTTTAATAAATGTAAACAACTAAATTATGAATGACAAGAATATCACTGAACAGTTAAATATTAATCATGTAATTACTTAAATTAATACTTTTAGTGCAATATTGTGATAGAGAGTTCTGCTTATGCAGTGTCACTGTGCTGGCCAGAGCAGGGCACAGGGGACCACAGGACCACAGTGGCCCTCACAGCAGAGGGACCTGGGGGCCTTAGGGCCTCATGGTGCCACAGCCTCAGTTCCTGGTTGTCTCACAAGTCTCACAATATGCTCTTAAGATGCTCTGGATGCTCTTAAGACCTCTGGAACCAGATTTATTAGGAAAGAACTTGTATTTTCTGTTCAAAATAAAGCTGTCAAGAAAATGGCTAAACTGGCCCAAACCAGAGAGCAATCTGCCCCACCCTAAACACTTTTCTGTCCTGAAGTTCCATGAAGCTCCCCAGCAGCTGTGTGTGGTGTGCAGACCCACAGGTGTGCTCAGTGATGGTCTGGGAAGACCAGAGGCGCTCTGGAGGGAGCTGGGGGTGCCAAAAGCCTGTCTGCTTCTGAAAGGGAGCTGGGAAGGTGGAGGAGGGAGGTGGTGTGTCCTGAGCTCTGCTGTGGGGCTGGACTTACTGCCCTGCAGGCCCCTCAGTGCTCCTGCCTGCACAGGTGCTGCAGGGAGCCTGCAGGCTGGAGAATCCGTCACCAGGATTTAGGGGGGAGCTGCCTTCTGTAGGTACTGGCAGGCAGCACAGGGCTTCTTTCCTTGCCCAAGAAGCTAAGAAAAGAATTTACTGGCACTCTTGTCCTTGTGGGTTGGCTGTCTTTGTTGTTTGTTTTTAATCTAATAAAAGAAGATCTTAATATCATGGTAAAATTGGTACAAAGCTAGAAACTCGCCCTGTGGTGTTTTGGCGAAACATTATTGAAAATGTAAAAGCCTTTAGCAGAAACAACAAAGGCACAAAGAAACAGTAGGAATGGGATCAACAGGTTCTGTTCTGGCTCTTGGGAGAGGCAGAGAAGTGCACCCAGCCAGGGCCCGAGGTGCCAGGCTGGACAGCAGCCCTGTGGTGGCTCTGTGGCAGCGGTGGCCAAGGACAGGGGTGGGCAGCACTGCAGAGCAGGGAGCAGGCAGGTGGGAAGAGCACCTTGCTGGGAGGGCAGGAGCAAGCCAGGAGGAAGAAGAGGGGACTTGGAGGATCTGAGCTCTGGGCAGATGGTGTGAGCACGACAGGACCTGGCCAGGGCAGCGGAGGCAGTGGGGAGACACGCTTGGCATCCTTGGGCTGGCAACTGCTGGAGCTTCTCCTGCCTCAGTCTGCTCCCTGTATGGGAATTAAATATTGGACACAGATTATACAAGTGCTTCTAAATGAGAAGGTGAAGCATCTCTTGCAGAAAGGTGGGAGTGCTGAGGTGTTCATTGTTCAGACTCGCCCTTTGCTGCAGGATCCCAGTGCAGCTGTTTCTGCCCTGTCCCCCTTTCCCTGTGCCTCCTGCCTCTTCACAGGCATCACTGCAGGTACCATTCCTGTGTGCTGTAAGCAAGTGCCTCCTGAAAATGCTAATTTGTCCACCAGTACAGCGCTGGTTGCCATGACCACTCATAAAAACAACCATTTTCAGGGTGATTAGTGCTCAGTCTGAGCTGCAGCAGCTCCCCATGACTTCAAACTCCCAGCACACAGTGGGTCACTGGAGGGAGCAGCTTCCTGAGGCTGCCAGCCAGGCTGGTACCTGGTTTCTGATTGATCATCAGCACATCTGCACAGTGCAGAGCCCTTCCTGTCCCCCTGCTCTTGCTGACTTGCCAGCTCTGGCAGCCTGAGTGCATTTTGCTCCTGGTGAGGCATTTTGTTGTGGCCGCCAGAGACCCATCCACGGAGAGCTTCGTGTCCATGCAGAGCATGGAGCTTCTCCTGGTCACTGTGCTCCTTTCCACAGCCTCACACCTGGAGAGGAATCCTGTCAGGAGCTGTCCATTGACGCTGCCCTTTGAGTTCATTTTGCTCTCCCAGCATTGCATTTTCCAGAGGACTTTTCCAGGTATGGTTTGAGCTGGTGAGAGGGAGAAGCGGGAGCTCTTTCCACATGCAGCATTACAACATGCTGCACTGAAGTTGGTTCTTGGAACGTAGCAGCCCCCTAAAATGTCAAATAAATCCTTAAACTATTCATCACTCTGTTTTTGGGGTGGCAGTTAAGTCTTTCAACACTCTGTGAGTTTCTTTCCCCAGCAGTAATTTTGCTGGTGAAGAAATACAGCTCAGGGCACTCCACAAAGTGGAGCCTCAAAATTCATGTTTTGTTTTCATTACCAAAAAAATGCTTTGCTACATTAAAGACTGGCCCATTAAAGTTTTGTACCCTGTCTTCTCTGCACCCTGTCGTTGTTGGCAAACCTTCCCCTGTGCCCGTGCAGAGCAGAGCAGCTTTGCTTCTGCAGGCTCCACAGAGAAAGGGCAGCAGAGGGGAGGAGGCTTCAGCCACAGCTCAGCTTGTTCAGATGTAACATCTCAAAACTTCCAATAGCCATGCAAATTTACTCAGTAAATGTATGTACTGAACCTTAAGCTATCAGTGCTTCCTCTGCTTTGAGTGTATCCCAGCACAGCACACTGCCAAAGGAAATAAATTAACTGTCTGGTTCCTGGAATAAAGTGTAACCCTGCACAGAGCAGTATATTTAACTGTCTTGGGCAAATGGCCTTAAAATAACAACAAAAAAGAACACAGTGAATTACAGGAGTCTTACTGAACCTTGTGATTATATAAATTAAATGTTGCCAGGTGAACTGGATGGTATTCTCTGATACTGTAGGAACGCTGGAGGTTGGAGAAAACAGTAAATGTTATAATTAGGGTTTAGGAGAGCACATGGTTATTCTCACAAGTAATTCAGCCTAGCTGTATGCTGGCATGGGCATGAGAGCAGGCAGTAAAACCTGGAGCTTCCTTAATTAAGAGGGCAGAAACGTTTTTTAGCAAAACTCAGTGGAGACTTACCATGTCCAGTTTTAGTTATTATTTCCACATTTTATTTAGATATAAATGGTGCATTAATAAATTTACAAGCACATTAGCAAGTTAGGAGATCAGAGCAAGGTGCAGCTGTGGGCTGGGCCCAGGGCACAGGCAGGAGCAGCAGCAGGGCAGGGGGGCAGCAAACCTGCCCCTTCCCAGCCCCTGGGTGGGCACTGGCATCACTTCCAGATGCTGCCCACGCTGCTGGGGCTGGGTGGTGCTGGGAGGAGCAGGGCAGCGAGGCTGGGCTGCAGCAGTGCTGGGCATGGCCTGCAGCAAGGCTTGATGAGCTGTGTTCCAGGGAAGGGGAAAGCCCTGGCCGGGTCTCAGCGAGCTCACGGGGGATTTCATGGGCCATCTGAAGGGCTGGCTCGATAGTGAAATGCAGCCAGCTGTGGGATGGGCTCTCTGGGAAATGGAGGAGTCCTCGTGGCAGGATTATTTAAGACTCGACTTTGAAAGATGAGACAACTGCAGTTGGGAACAATGCTGCACTGTCACAGAGATGGACTCAATTACTTAATAGGTCGTTGCTGTCTGTCTCCTGCGTTTTCCCTTTCAAGAACATATATTCAGCTGGGTTATTTCTCATGGGAAGACAAAGCCTTGTGAGAGGGGGCAGGCATTTGGAGGGGAGAGGCTGGAGGAGCAGCAGCCAGGCAGATGCCTGGTTTGCTCTCCATGGAGCAGGCTCCTTGGGACTGGAAAAGCCCGGAGTGGTGTAGCTGCTGTGGTCCTTTGGTCCCAAAATCTGTTGATCCCCCGGTCTCACAGTAAATTTTTTTACTCACAAAAGATTTGCCAGGGCGCTCTCCCCCTGCCAGGCTCATCCCCAGGACTGCTGGTGGTGACACTGTGGGGCTGTGTGGGGCATTGCTGTCTGGTTTTCTGCATTGGATGGACACTGACAGGTCCATGCAGCCCATCTCAGTGCCTGGGCAGCCTGTCCTTCAGCACAGAAGGCTTGGATGGGGTTTGATCAAATGCCAGCCGAGCTGGAGGCAGCTCATGGATGCCAGAGCCCACCCCTGGAGAAGCCACTTGGTTCCCTGTGAGCAGGACATGGAGGACAGGATGGGTCACAGCCAGGGGCTCGTGTTCTCCCCAGGATCCCCCTGCCAGCCGTGGGGTGAGGGTTCCAGGGCCTTTCCTGGTGGGGCAGGGCCCTGCCTGGCTGGGGGCAGCACGAGCTGGTGCCAGGGCAGCCATGGGACGCTCACTGCCCCACCCAGGGCACCTGCCCTGGTGCCCGTGTTTGTCACCAAATTAACATCCTGCATCACCTTATGCACGTTGAATTATTGTGCTTAAATTGGTTGTTCTGAAGCCTCAAGGCTGTAATGAGATTTTGTCTCTTTTGCCCATTCCTTTTTCTCTTCTCTTTTTTTCAGAATAAGTCGTCTGTTTAATGGCACAGAGCCTATTGTCTTGGACAGTTTAAAACAGCATTATTTCATTGATCGAGATGGGGAGATTTTCAGATATATATTAAGCTTCCTAAGGACATCTAAGCTACTGCTCCCAGATGACTTTAAGGTAAGGAAAGCTAGAGTCTGCAATCTGGTTTTTCCTCCTGTTCCGTCATTTGTTTTGGGGCAGGTTGGTTTCTATGCTTGACCTAAACACACTTAACTAAATGTTGCTGTTTATTTGTTAGGATTTTTAGTACTTGTGTATTACACCAGGGATGCTATTATTTAATAAATGAACCAGTGGTTGTCATGGATACCAAGAAAAGTTAAACGATGAAGCTTATAGCTAAATCAGTTTTTCTAAACTAATTGTATTTTCTCACATTTTTAGCTTATTTATCAGGGTATAACAACAATTAAGAAGCAACATCAGCAACTTGCACTTAGCAGCGTTTAGTGCTCAGAATCTGAAAGAAAGGTTGCAAGTTTGATACGTAGAGGACTTGAACTGTGTAAATCTTTTTCTTGTTGGTATAAAAAGGAAACCCTTAAATGAGCCCATGAGGATTTGTGTTAGACATAACCAGTGCAGATAGTTTGATTTCAGGAAGTAATCTGCTCACAGTTAATGTCAAAATATTCTTGGGAGATGGAATTGACTGAGGGCTTTTTAAGGAGCAGGACATGTTTTGTATGAAGTCATGGTGCTGGTTGTTTCTTTGAGGCCCTGATTGTTTAAAGGCTCTGCTTTTGGCCTTGTTTGTTTGGCTTTGCACTTAGGAAACTTCCAGCATTGTCACCCTGATGTATGAAAATTAGAAGACAAAAGTGTCCAAACTGTAGATGACAAGATTCAACAAAAGCACTTATTCCAGGATGAAATGATGAATAAATTGGATGGCAGATGGGGATCTGCTCACTTAGAGGATGCAGAGCATTGTGAGGAAAATCTTCTGCTTTCTCTGAAGTGCCATTTCACTCTGTTGTACTGGCTGGGCACAGGACCACTTGGGTTGTGACTGAGTCCAGAGTGGTGGTGGTGGCTCTTGCTTTGGAGCAGAGCTGGTCCTCGTGCCCAGCTCAGCCGTTCTCACCTGGCTAGGAGGGCAGTCATGTCTGACCCACCAGGGAGGGTCTGCAGCTCACATCTGCCAGGGGCAGGTTTGGCAGTCCCAGTATGAGCTCAACCAGAAGGGCTCTCCTGAGCCCTGTGTTCCTGGTGAGTGGCAGATGGGCTGGAGGGAAATGAGAAATGAGGGCTGGGTGGGAGAAAACTCTGCAGAGAAATGAGACCACACCTGTGTGTGGTGGTGGAGCTAAAGACCAGAGCAGTCCTGGGGTTGTAGGGTGGATCAGGGGAAGGGGTGGATGGAGAGTGGGGAGAGGCACAGGAGAGATGCTTCAGCAGCTGTGTTTTGTTCAGTCCAGTGGGACAGTGTGAGAAGAGGCCACACCTCGAGTGCTGTGTCCAGCTCTGGCCCCTCAGTTTGGGAAGGACCTTGGGATGCTTGAGCACATCCAGAGGAGGCAACGAGGCTGGAGAGGGGCTGGGAACACAAATCCTGTGAGGAATGACTGAGGGAGCTGGGGGTGCTCAGCCTGGAGAAAAGGAGACTCAGAGGTGACCTTATCACTCTCTACAGCTCCTGAAAGGTGTCTGTGCTCAGGTGGGGTTGGTCTCTTTCTCCAGGCAGCACTGAGAGAAGCAGAGGTCACAGTCTCAAGCTGCACCAAGGGAAATTCAGGCTGGATATCAGGAAAAAGTTTTTCACAGAAAGAGGGATAAAGTTCTGGAATGGCTGCCCAGGGAGGGGGTGCAGTCCCCATCCCTGGGTGTGTTTAACAAAGCCTGGATGTGGCACTGGGTGCCAGGGTTTGGTTGGGGTGTGGGGGCGGGGTAGGACTCCATGACCTCGAAGGTCTCTTCCAACCCAGTGATTCTGTGAATTCTGTGATTCTGTGAAGAGAGGGTAGGAGAGAAGAGGGAGGTGGTTTGAGCTGATCATGGCCTCGACCAGCATCCAGGTTTCAGAGGTGCTCAGTCACAGAAGCAGCAGGATTTGGCTGGATTCTGGAGGGGAGAGGATGCCCAGGGCTTGTCTGGCAGGGCTGGGGGCTCGGGGAGGGCTCTGTGCCTGCTCCCCACCACCCTCTGCACTGGGGTGGCTGCATTTCAGTGAGCTCCTCCCTGGGAGAGCTTTAGAGCAAACCCCAGGCTAATGAGGGCTCAAGAACAAAGCAAAGCATTGCTAGGTAGGGAGTAACTAAATCAAAATGCATAGAAGAATGAGCTGTAAAGCTGTATTAAAACTGCACTGTAAACGGATTTAACTTCACAGAAATCGTGTAATTTTGCCAGCATGATTAAAGTGACAGAAGACAATAATCAAAGGCAGCAAATGGAATCACTCGGTGTTTCTAAACGCAAAACTCTATTTAAGGTATAAAACCTGACAGTTTTTCCAGTGAGACTTGCATTAAATGTTCTTTATGTCAAACAAAGCACTATCAAGTGTTTTGAATATTTATTAGTTTTTACCCCTTAATTTAATCAAGCAGTTTATTAGCCTCAAGGTTTAGCCAAGTTGCTTTTCAACTTGAATTGCTGCTCACATGGTTATTTTGGAAAGTTTGGAATGCTAGTACCACACCAGCATTACTGTGTTTGCTATTTCAGTGCTGTTTTCAGACGAAGTTAACACTGAAATGCAGAGAAAGTGGGGTGTGTGTTCCGAGGCTAGTGATTCTTTATTATCAAGTCTGAGTGGTGTGTTTACAGTGAATATTAATTACACTTGCAACTACTACTAAGCCAGAGCTTGAAAGTGTCTCCCAGGTCTTCGTGCTGAAAGTAGCACTCCTGTGGTTCCTGCAATTTTCCTGGGTTTGGGGGAGTTTGAGCCACATGAAGTTGCTGAGGGCAGAGTGTGGCTGGTTGTGCTCTGCAGGCAGCCCATCCCAGCTGGAGCAGGGCTCAGCCCTGCCTCAGGAGCTGCTCCTCCTCTGGTGCCCAAAGTCCCCTCCCTGGTGTCCCCTGCCAGCAGAGGGGCTGCCCAGGAGCAGCACGTGTGCCCTTCACTGTCCGTGCCCAGCTGCACACAGAACAGAGCTGCCTTGAGTCTTGTTTGGGACCCATCCCTGCTCAGCATCAGCCAGGAACAGGCACACGGGCCGTGTGTGCATTGCTGTTCCCTCTCAAAGGGGGGAGGAGCACAAAGGCACAGACATCTCAGTTTTATGTGGATTGCAGAGATCACCTGTGGCACCAGAATGACAGGGCCACCACTCTAATTTATTAACACAGTTACAAAATTTGTGTGCTTGCATCTAAAGTCTCTCAAGCTGACCTCAGGAAACAGTGCAGTTGTCATTGTAGAAGTGAGCAACTTTCTTTCATAGCCAGGAGTCAGATCTTCACAGCACTAAAAATATAAAAGAAACATTGACTTAGGATGACAGTTTGTTGTTTCATGTAATAAAGAACAACAAGTGAAAAATGGGCAGAAAGAGCCATTTCAGCCTGTTCAGGAGTCACATTTAGGGACAAAAATAAAGGATGTTTTGGTACTGAGAGAACAGCACAAGTTCTGGGCTCAGTGTGTGCTGGCTGCCTGGCCTGGGTGGCAGAGCTGTGCCAGCCACTGGCCCTGGCATGGGGCAGCAGGGAAGGTGTCACCCTTGGCACAGGTGACGCCAGAATTTAGCCCACTTGAAATCCACCACAGAAAAAGCTTTTATACTGAACAAAAAGCAGAAAATTATTTTGTGAAAGGCAAAAGGCTGCGTCTTTGAAAGATCTGCCAATGAGATCTACGTGTAGGCCAGAAGCTGTGGCTGGAGAAAGGCTGTGTGCATCATTCCTGCCTGTCTGCTCCCTTCCTCAAGTGACCTGGCAGAACTTCCACTACTTCCTGCAACAGCCATGGGAAGTTGAAGGTTCATGGTAGCTGTAAAGGCTTTTTTTAATAAAGAAAAATTGAGGGCTGTACTGTTTATCTCCCCTTTTAGTCTCTTAAAGAGCACCCTGCTTGTGACTGCCACTGGTGGTGGGAATCTCCTCCAGAGGAAAATGGAAAATGTGTTCCTGGGCTAAACAGAAGCAGTTCCACTGTCTGTCACAGTGCTTGGCTCTGGTAGGGAGCTGGGAACACAGGGGAATAATGCTTGTAAGAAATGGGAGATGCTTGAGTCCTGCAGGACAGGGAAGTCCTGGGTGTTGCACAAGATCTGCTGTGGGATGGTGCCAGCAGCACTGCCCTGCCAGCAGGCTGGAGCTCTGGGAGGGAGCTGCAGGTGTCCCTGTGCAGGGGGCACAGAGCTGTGCCCTGGGGCTGGCTTCCAGTGACCCTCTGTGCCCTTGGCCCTGGGCTGCTCCCTGCCTGTGCCAGGGGGATGTGCCTGGCCTGGGTGGGAGCACTCATCTGCCTTTGGTAACTTAGCAAAACCAGCAGCTTGGAAATGTTCTCCTGCAGCTCCTGTGGCACCTCCCTGGTGAGGGCTCCTGTGGGTTTCATTCTTCTGCTTTACATTTCATATTAAACTTCAGTAAATCTTCAGGGTAGGGTTTGATATCTGCAGTGCAGGGGTAGAAGTACCTATGCCAGTGTCCCCTGGGCATCCCAGGCATTCAGTGCACATAGTCCTGAGCTGGGCTCTCCCAGACTGGTCACAGAACTCTGAACACTGTGTAAAACCTGAAGGGAAAGTGTGGGCTTGGTGTGCAGAGCCCCTGTCCAAGCACAGGATCTAGGGAACCTGAGCCCCAGGCTGTGAGCCACTCATTCTCTATTCCTGGCTCTGTGAAACCCTCCTCCCTCCCTAAACACAGTGTCAGATTCCCTCAGGAAGCCCCAGCCCCTCCCTGCAGAAAGGCCAGAGGTGCCATAGGAGGAGCAGGGGCAGTCTGTGCTGCTGGTGGCTGTGGGCAGCAGTGCAGTGGGGTCACACGAGGTGTCCCTTGTCACTGGTGGACTGCAGTGAATTCCTCTTGCTACAGAAGACTCTTTTTTATCCCCTCCACTTGTTACTGTGCTCCAGCACAAGGAATTCCCCTTACTGGCACTGCCTGAAGTGGTGCCCTGATTCCCTGGCATCACCTCCTGGCACCAGCACACCTCAGTTCCCAGGGCCTGCTGCTGGGCCCTTCTTCAGGTGCACAGCCTTCCCACGTGTGTGCTGAACCCAGGAGAGCCCGAGTTCAGAGAGTGACCCAAACAGCTTGGCCCAGCCCCTGGTGCTCCAGCTCAGCCCCTGAAGTGTGCCTCTGTCCTTCTGGGAGCAGTAGTGCAAGAGCTGCTCCATTTGAAAGCAGGTTTTCTTCTCACAAAATGGTATCAGGGTGTAAAATTTGTCCTGTTCATTTCAGGGCCCATGACAGCTAGCAGTCACTGAAAAGCTGCAGTGGGTGGGCTGGGCTGGCTGGGAGAAGCAGGGCTGCTGTGGTCTGGGCTGTGCTTGGTGTGTGGCACTGCTGTTCTGTGGCCCGAGGTGCAGGAGCACTGGGGTGCTGTGATTCAGGACACTGCCTGTGATTCAGGCCAGTGCAAAGGCAGGGCAGGCACTCAGAGATCTGTGATGCACTGGGCTTGGCATCCAGCCTGGGAGCCCTGTGCCTCTCTGCTCTCAGCAGTGAAGGCTGTTCTTTCTGTCACTGTACCATCTCTTCCAGGTTTTACTGTTGAGTTTTCTTAGCACATATTCACGTGATTGATTTAACAAATAATACCATATTTTATAGTGTCCATGAACCCAGATACTCCAAAACTGGTTTTTCAGGACCTACTGAAATCAGCAGATGACTTTCCATTGCCTTCAGAAAGTACTGGTGCTCCTGTTACTCTACACCATTACATTTTTCCTTAGCATTGCATGTTTCCTTGCTTGGGAAAGCAATCCATGGCACCAGCAGATGCCAAGTAAATATTTGGCAGGCCACTCCACACACCTCTGTACTGAACACGGTTAGATGGTAGACTGTGCTGGTTCAGTGTCCTGCACAGAGATTTCAGATTTTTTTTTTTTATTTAGGCCACCAATCCCTGTAGGTTTAAACTGATCCCCTGTTCAGTACTGAGGCAGCATCACTAGTGGACAGAGAAAAGCAGGAGTGGTTCAGCAGAGAGTGCTGGTTTTGGGCAGGGTGAGAACACCTTCCAGCAGAGATGAGGCTTGGGGCTGGTGCTGTCTTACCTGAGCCCAGGTGGTGCAGGCAGCCTCCACAGCTCTTTGCCTGGCCTGTTCCCAGCACTGGTTGTTGGTTGTTTGCAGCATGCTCTCTGTATGATTTCTTCTTTCATCTTCTGTGTTTTCCATCTTCAAGCTGTCCCGTGAGAGTGTTTGTTGCCCTCATTTCTTCCCACCCGCTCTTATCCCTCTTCCTCTCTGCTCCTCTTATCCTCCAGTCCTTTTTTCTGCCTTAGCTGTGTGCACATTGTCCCCACCTCAGCAGACATCAAAGAGATGTAAAGGATTGGATGTCCCTTTTGTAAGTCGATCACCTTGCCCTGTCACTGTGAATATTCATGTGTCTCCAGGCTGAGGCAGCCCTGGGGTGGAGGAGCACCTCCACTACCAGTGGGTCTGTGGTGCCAAATTTGAGCAGAGATAACTGCTTTGGTTCAGTAATACCCTGCAGCAGGAGATTTTACAGGTTAATTCCAAACCTGTGTGCAGAGTTGCACCTTTTTGTGCTGCATCTTCACTGGCCTTTGATTCCCCTCTCCCCGAGTCCCAGGGCAGCAGCACACCCATTATTTTTCATGTGCTTTTGGTGCCCATTTCTTGATTGCTTCTTGTCGTATCATTCTTTCCAGTCCAAATGATTTCAGCCATTTCAGTCTTGATTTTTCTTTTAATTTCATTTTGTTTTCCATTTCCCTGGTGTAGAAGTGGCCTTTGTCAGGTGTTGACCTCCAGCACACCCCACGGGAGCAGCTGTGGGGCAGCATTTGTGTGTGTCAGGAGGTGCAGGAGCTGGAAAGCAAAGCCAGGTGTCTGCAGGGAGCAGCTGAGCTCTTGTTGCTCCTCTTCCCCTTCGAGGCTGGGGGAGCAAAGTGCCCCCTGGTCTCTCCCCCTGGTCTGGGGGGCTCAGCTGCCTCCCGGGGTCTGGGGGCTCACACCCTTTGCCTCCTGTACTCTCACACGTTTCAGCTGGGCTGGGAAGATCTGTCAGAATCTGATGAAACAATCACTGAAGTGGGAATTGGATCAAACTGGGAGTTTGAATTGCCCAAAGGCCAGGTGAAGTGATGGACAAATGGCAGGAAGAAGTGCTCCTGTGCAGCCCTTGGAGCAGGCAGCTGAGCTCCCAGCCAGCAGGATGGTCACCGTCATTTACCAGCTCCAAAGTACTTGAGATGCATGAATAGTCATCAACAGCAGGCAGCAGCTCAGCTGCTGTGCATGAGCTCAGCCTCGGCAGGGGCAGGTGTCATTTACCAGCTCCAAAGTACACTTGAGATGCATGAATAGTCACCAACAGCAGGCAGCAGCTCAGCTGCTGTGCATGAGCTCAGCCTCGGCAGGGGCAGGTGAGAAGTGAAGCTGAACTGACATCTCCATCTCCTGAGATCTGCTCTGAGATCAGAAGTGTCTGAGCCAGAGTGCAGAGCAGGGCTGGCAACATCTTACATCAGTGGGCTTTGTTTACTGCAACCAGCTATTTTGATTTCTTAACCCAAGAGTGAAGCCTTCTGGCATGGAGCTTGTGGGATAATAAATGAGAGGATAATTCAGTGCAATGGGAACTTCTCAGTCAGCCCAAACAATTCAACACCAGCACCGTGTGGTTTCTGTGGAGGTGTAAGTACGTGGCTACCTGTTGCCTTTGCTCTCTTGCTGACAATACATAAGCCTAAGTAGGTCAAACAGGAACAATACTCATTTTTAAAAGAGAACTATAAGCATTTCTAGTTTCTCTCTCTCCCTCTCTCTTTTTTTTTCTTTCCCAGGACTTTAATCTTTTATATGAAGAAGCAAAGTATTACCAGCTGCAGCCAATGATTAAGGAACTTGAGCGATGGAAACAAGAGAAAGAACAAAGGAAACATTTCCAGCCTTGTGACTGCTTGGTTGTAAGAGTGACTCCAGATCTGGGGGAAAGGATTGCATTGAGTGGGGAGAAGGCTTTGATAGAGGAGATCTTCCCGGAGACGGGGGATGTCATGTGCAACTCGGTGAACGCGGGCTGGAACCAGGACCCCACCCACGTTATCAGGTTTCCCTTGAATGGATACTGCCGGCTCAACTCCGTGCAGGTAACAGCGCCCTGCCCTGCCCTGCCCTGCCCTGCCCTGCCCAGCCCTGGGCTGCTTTTTACTATGGCTGCTTCAATTCTATGCAGATTATTTGCTTCTGCCCAATTACTTTCAGTGCTTATACTGCGAGGAAACATTTTTCTGCCTGGTGAGATCACAGTCTTTCAGGTTTTCCTAAGTCTAAGCAGAAAAATACATTTAGATTTTGTGTATGTTAGTGCCATGCTGGCCTCATAATGGTGTTATACTGATAAATGCTAATTTTTTTCATCAATGTATAGCCTTTGGCAGTTTTTTTTTTTCCTCCAAAGTGCCTCTAGGAAGAAAGAGAGAGTTCCAAAAACTACAAAAAAAATCTCCACACCATTTTATAGAAAATGCAACAATGTGTAAATGCATAATTTATGTCTCACTCATAATTAAATGATGGTGCCTGCGGGATGGACTTAAAAAAATTGATCTCTGCACTTTTTTTTTTTTCAAAAGGATGTTCTATAAAAATTGCCCAGAGTATTTTAAACAAAAATGTATTTCATTTTATACTCAGAGTTTTGACATTAGGTTTAAAATTAAACATAGGAAACAAAAGAAGATAACTGGACAGATAGGTGGACGGCAGCAGGAATAAATACGTGCTCTGTGGGCAGGCAGAGCCACTGGTCAGGGGTCAGCAGAGCTGTGCTGCCGTGCCTGGGCTGGGCTCTGGGCAGAACCAGTGCCCTTAACTCGGCCAGGGCAGAGCTCTTGGTTCCCTGTACTCCTGTGGAACACGCTGCAAATGCTCCTGTTACGGGCAGGGAAATCATCCTGGAGGGGAGTGTTTCCCAAATGACCATCCTCAGCAGGGGCTGTGGCTGCCTGGGTGAACTCCCTGTGGGCAAAATCCCTCGGCAGAGCTGGTCTGGCAGGGAGGGAGGGAGGACGAGAGCCTGGAGCTCCCGTGGCTGTGGGTGTTGCACATCAGGCTCGGGCCCCTGTGTCTGCCAAGGGACACCTTCAGCAAAGGACATCTTCACCCCCTGCTCGTGTAGAGGTGGCAGGAGGTGACAGTGACCCCCTGCATGGGCAGTGCTCCTGTGCCCCTGGGCTGAATCCAGCCCACCCCCTGGGCTCGGGGGCCTTTGGGTCAGGCTCCCCAGAGGTGAATTTGGTTGAAGCTCACCAGGCTGTGGGGAATCCTGCAAGGTTTGGGGCTGGGGTGCTCAGGGACAGCTCTGTCCCTGGCAGGGACAGGGAGGGGTCCCCATGGCTGTGCTGGGAGCAGAGGGAGCTGGGGAGCAGCATCTGTGTCCCAGCCCTGCTGTGAGAGCTCACCAGGAGTGAGAGGAGCTGAAACCATCCGGGGTCACAGTGAGCAGCTCAGCCTGCCTGGCACAGCTCTGGGTGCCCACATGGCTGAGCTCTTTCATGCTCTGACTCCTGGGATACATGTGCTGCATGTGTAGAAAAAGCTGAACACTAATTACTGTTATTATTTGAATGTGTTTTGAATTCAGTCAAAATTCAGACAGAATCAAAGGGTCTCTTTGCAAGTTCATGTTGTGGAAAAAATTTCTGTCAAAGAGGCTACAGTATAAGTAATCCTGTTAAATTACATCATTTTACTAAATTACATCATTTTACTATATAATTAATAGAAAGTGTTTTCAAACACTTTCTGGAAAATGATGCATTTCTGAGACCAAAGGCTGATGAAATCAGCAGCTAATTAGCATTGGCTCTGATGAACTCTGGTCAGCACACAGGCACTGCTCTTCCCCCTCCAAGGATTTTTTTGGCAAAACAAAATTAAGTCAAAAGCTGGAAGTACAGTGAGGCAAATGCACAGATGTAAGGGAGATGGGTAGTGGTTGGAAGAGCAGAATTGCTTGCAAAGAGTCCCACAGAGCAATGCAGGAAGCCTGTCTGCTGTTTGCTCAGGTGATACATTACTTCTGCCTCCCTGTGCTCTGCTCAATGTATTTGGTAGCACAGTTGCAATATTTATACATTTTTTCTATATTAGAAAAATATTTTCATTACATGCTCTATATCAAGGACTGTGAGTATAAAATAAAGAACATCAACACCTAATAGGCAAAAATATAATACAGTAATTCTTAATTGTACACCCATTTTAATTATATATAGGTACAGGTTTTTTCAACTCCTTGCAATAGGTTCTGGTGGGAGTCACAAATTTACCTTAGAGAAAATTCTGTGATGCTTGTGAATGTTGAACATTAAGTCTTCATAATTAAGAATGTATTTGTTAATATTCTGCACAATTTAAATGAAAGGATCAGGTTTCCATTTGGGAAACCTCCCAACAAAATCAGATGTGCTTGGAATATTGGAAGACAGCACATATTAAATCTGAGCACAAATCCCCTATTTAATAATGTGCATGTGTCCCTGTACATGGGAGAGTCACAGCTGATACTCAGTTTTTGGCATGTTCTCTTTGGAGATTTTCAGCAGATAGCAGACATGGTCACTGCTTTCCCCCTGTCCATATCTTACCTTCAGAAGAAATCAAATGTATAGAATCAATTCTCTAAATGGGATTTAGACCTGTCCATGTTCAGATGCTGTTCAGTCTCTTGCATGGGAGCACTGAAAGGAGCCTTCCTCCCTGGACCTGAGCTCAGCCTCATCCCAAAACTGCAGCATTTAAACATCCTCAGCATTGCTTACAGGATTTGGCCTGAGCAGATCGATGATGCCAGGGTTTTTAACACCAGATTATGGCCTGCAGTCTGGTCCTTCCAGCATGGAGTGGGTGAACAGGAATGGCTTTGGTGGCTCTGCTGCTCTGAGTGCAGTGTCTGCCTGGACTGGGTGTTTGCATGGAGAGGCTCTGTGAAAAAGAATCCTGTGGTAACATCCAGCTTTCCATAGCTTTGGTCTGAGGCAAGCCAAAGGCACTCCCTGCTTGTTTGGTCTTACAAGCAAATTGATTTTAAAAATTAGCAAGGATTTTGAAGTCCTGTCTCTCTCAGAAACCTTACCTGTCTATCCTCTGCTCCACTGTCCAGTTCAGTGGGAGAAGCCTCCTTTCCCCATGGCTGGATTGTCTCTCTTCTTCATCCTGTCAGGGCTAGGAGCAGTGATCACCACACAGGCAGAACATATTCCAGCCTGTGAAACAGCAGCCTGCTGATGTCTTATTCCTCCTTCCGTCTCAGACTCCTCCTGCCCTCCCCTCTGAGGAGGAACAGTGCTGCTGTCTCACCCCATTTCTGTCCTACAGGCCCCATACAGCCCGGGTGAATAAGAGGGGTGAAAGCTTTCTTTCTCTGTCTTAAATGTATTTTATTAACCCACTCTCCTGCCTCTTCTTTTCTTCTCTCCCCCTTCATTTTTCTTCCATACTCTGGTGTGCTTTTTTGATCTTTCAGTTCTGCTACTTTCTTGCAGTGTAGAGTATGTAAAAATCAGGGCAAAAGTCAGGGAGATTTGGCAGATGTGACTTTGTGAGAACGCTAAGTCCCTGTGTCCCAGGGCCAGGCAGAGCTCCCCAGGCAAGTTGATTTTCAGCAGACTCGGCAGGACTTGGGCAAAGCTCTGCTGGAGCAGCCTCTCCCTTTGCCCGTCCTTAGAGCCAGGCTAGCAAGAGTGGAACGTTTTAGTTAGCCCTGGAAGCCAGAGCCTGGATTAAATGCAGATGGATAACACAGGCAGCCCCTGAGGAGGGATCGAAGGGATTAAAGGCAGCAAATGCTGCTGCCATGGTTTGCATTGCTCTCTGACACCACCTTGGACACAGCTGTCCTTCCAAAACCACGCTCCTGGAAAAGCAAAGCCAACGCTCAGGCAAAAGCAGTGGTGCACTGAGCAGTGCCCAGGGGTCTGTGTGAGGCAGGGGCAGTGCTGCCACTGCCTGCCCACAGTGAGCTGGACACAGAGCAAACTCCTCCTGGAACTGAGCCCAGGGGTACGAGCTGGCTCTCTGCAGGTGTGGGTGTTGCTCAGACACTTCCCCAGGATGAAGTTTGTAAAGGGCTTTGTCCAGGGTGCTGTGGGTGCAGAGAGGTGTCACAGGGGGCTGCTGTCACCAGGTAGGCACTTCCCTAGGATGAAGAAGCTTGTAAAGGGTTTGTCCAGGGTGCTGTGGGTGCAGAGAGGTGTCACAGGGGGCTGCTGTCACCAGGATCCTCAGGTTTAATAAACCATGGTGTCGCTTCCCTGTTCCTCCTGCTGCCACTTTGGGCGAGGCTCTTGGGGAGCAGCACAGGCTGCTCCTTGATGGCATTTATCAGTAGAGAAAAACACAGGAAGCATTTTCCCAGGTGCTGCCTGGGACTCAGGGGAGCCTGAGTGGCTCCTGCATTGTGATCTGCCCAAGGTGGAGCTGGCATCTGCCCTCACCTGGCTCTGGGAGAGGCCTGGTGTGTCCTGCTCTGCTGGGAAGCTGAGTATCAACACACTCACCCCTGTGAAAAACAGCCCCGTTCCCAGAGCCAGGATCAGCATGTCCTGGGGAAATGTGCTGTGTGACAGTCACAGAAATTAAAGTTGCCTCTGGGTTCCTTAAATTCGTGCATCTAAATTGCACCAACTTTTCTTTAGGAGGAGGAGGAGAAAATACATATTTGGGTAGTACAGATTAACCTCTTTCTTGGGCCAGAACCTTTCCCTGTTGTCCATGTCCTGGCTCTGCATCCTGTCCCTGCCATGCTTTGTTCCCTTCCTGCAAGGGCAAACAGCTGAGATTGCCACGCAGATCTGGTGGATGTGTCATTTGAACTCCTAATACGTTTCCATCTGCCAAGGAAGAGCTTCTTGCCCCCCTCCCACCTCAGACTGTTCATATTACTAATGATTAATTGGCATTTTTTATTAGAACTTAAACCTGATGTCGCTTTGTATAAGGAGTGAGAGCATCAATATCACCACAGTCCAGTATTTTACTATATAATGTACTAAGCTGCTCTGCAGAGTGCTTATTTCTTTGATTAATTTTTGTTTTCTACAGAGGTTTGCTGAGAGCGAGACTTTAATCACAGTGTAGTCATTTAACAATAAGTTACAGAATTATAACTGAATAATATTCATTCAGCGAGGACTCGAAAGACTAAATCCGTCACTTAGATCTGGTGCTTCCGAATGCTTTTATCACTAAAATTTGCTAAATATTAATCTGATTGTTTTCCCTCCACATTGCAGGTGCTCGAGAGATTATTTCAGAAGGGATTTAACGTGGCAGCTTCCTGTGGTGGTGGGGTGGATTCCTCCCAGTTCAGCGAGTACGTGCTGTGTCGCGAAGACAGACGAGCACAGCCCACCCCAACAATCAGAATAAAACAGGAGCCCCTGGACTAGACCCTCCCCGTGCCCCCTTTGTAACCGTAGAAGTGTTTAATAGTCCCTTATGTGAAACACTAAGGATTTGCAAAACAGTATTAGCAAACAGATTTGGACTTCATGTTGCCCATTAGTGGTACTCTGAAACTACCTGTCGCATAGCCAGCCATGGGATGCATTTGGAAAACCAGCGTGGCAGGGCTGGGATGGACCTTGGGCTGACCAGCAGTGGTGTGGAACAGGCAAAGCTTTGGAAACCCTGGCCCTGGACTGGACTTCTGCAGCAAGAGCCATGGAAGCAGTGGAACTGGCCAGCAGGAGCCCAGGGACAGCCCGAGCTGCGCTGCGGGGACGGGGGCGTCTGCGGGAGGAAGACCCCAAAAACTGCACTGAGAACCTTCCCTGACTGCTGCCCCTCCTCCATATCAGGCGTGCTTCACACCCCCAGCATCACAGTCACCTGGTGATTGTACCCACCCACATGAGCAAATGACTTATTTTTATACTACATTTCCAGCTGAGGTCTCTCTCTGTGAACAGGATCCAGAACCAGAAAAGGACTGATTCATAGTCACTGGTGCTTGCAGTACTTAAACCCCCCACAAACCAAACAAAGACAAGAAATTAGGCAGGCCCACTTACGGCAATATTTGCAGCAGTAGGGATCTGGAAGCACAAAATAAAATGCTATCCACCATCACACGAGGGTCACATACCCCACGAGGAGCTGTAGCTCTTTTAAAGCCAGTCTTGTTTTTACACAGCAGCTGTTAAGTTTTGCATCATCAAAGAAGCGTGGTTCTACCAAACAAGCCACCCCTTGTTAATCATTTACTAACCATGTTAGAAGCCCACATTTAGCAGGAAAGTTTAAGAATTTTGGACAAGCCCACTCTTTATGGGTCTGGAATTCTTGCAAAGAGTTGTTAAAACCCTGTATTGCCATTGCCAGATGAAAGCAGGATGCCGTCGGTTTAAATGGTTTTATTATTTTCAGTTATTATTAAAATTTGAATTCTGTAGCTGCCCTCTTATCTGTGTAGCTTTCTCTGTCACAAAGTCAGGGTTCTGTCTGCAGGAGGGTCCTGCTTCAGCCAGGACTTGGCACTGACTCACAGGGCTTTCTAACTCAGGAGACAGCACCGTGTTTGCAGGTGCACGGCTATAAATAGCATTCTGCTAAATCCTGTTTATTGCTGTTTAGCATGATTGGGTCCTCAATCACTATTTCACGTGTTAATCACAATTTAGTTTCTCCCACATTAATTTATAGAATACTGTTGTAGATGATGAATTTTAATTAAACTCTTTTTAGATGCATAAATATGGCCATATGGAACAAGGGACAGAGCATTAAGTGGTCAACAGTTCTTAATGCAAATTGATTGCAATCAGGCAAAATTTAAAAGTCATGTTTAAGACTAGTATTTTCAAAAGCAATGAGCTGTACTGACTATCCAAGGTAAAATCTAGGCAGGGGTCTAATTTTTGGAAAAGGGCTGGATACCTGTCCATGGAAAATCAGACCTCTGCAGGTTTTCTCACCTTGGTCACCCAACTCAGAAATCTCTAATGGCAATCCTGGCCGGTTGGCCTTCTACCTTAGCAGAACAGTTGAGCAAATCTGTCTACTTTAAGAGTTGTAAAGTTATTTTATTTTGTGGTTTTATACTTGTACGACATTCTAAAGTTGCTAGGCATTGCCATATTTGAATATATGGCACAACATTCACCTTTGTATGTAAGATATCTGTAGAATTGTATATTATACATTTAATATTGTAAAGAACTTAACGTATAATTGTCATGTATTTGTGTATGCACATTTCTTATACAGTACTTCATGCCATAAACATTTCTGTAAAGTAAATGAACAAAAACAAGCACGTAGGGTGGAACACTCACTGTATCTCCCATGTTGTTTGAAAGAGGTGAGAATTTTTGATTGCGTCTTCTCCAGCCCTTTGCTCCATTCAGCTTGATGTAGCCATGTCTTACAAAAAGATAGAAGTGTTTTATTTATTACTTTCATACCTTAAGTCCAAAGTATCCCTCAACAGTCCATTCAGGTTCTTGTTTTTATCCTGTATCCACTCCTGCCCTGCCCTCTGGCATGGGGTGAGCTGAGCACTCCTGGCAGCACACCCTGTCCAGTTCTTACCTCTCAGCCAGGGAATAAAGGTGATATTCCATCCCAGGGGCTGCTCCTGCCCCTGGTGCTCTCCCCAGGCAGCCTGGGGAGCGCAGACTGGGATGGTGCTTTTACACATCTGTGGAACGTTGGAAGTATTTGTGCTTGCTTGGTTGGTTGGTTGGTTTTTCCTCAGTTTGGTGTTTACTGTATTTTTTTATGGCTCAATAAAGCAGCTCCTGTCGTTGGGGCAGCTTTGCTGAGGTGGCATTGGAAAGGGTTCCAGGCTGCGCCAGCCGAGTTAAATGTGAACTTGAGATGGAAAGTTTAAACCATGACATCACAGCATTGACTGCAAACAGCACAAAGGCTAGGAAGACATGTGGAAACAATCACTTTCTTAGAAGAAATATGCCTTTAAAAAAAAAAAAAGTTAAGCTAGGACATGTTCTTTTAGTTAGTAACTTCAGGTCACTTATTTAAAGATTATTACAGTTTCATTTATATATTTTTTACTTATTTCCCTATATTTTTAGGCATCAATATCAGCAAAAAAAAAAAAACAAACTGATTTGAATATCTACTTCTGGCCTTAAACCACAGCAACATAACTTAATGAAGAACATTGCTCAGCATCACTAGGATGTTTCAAAGCACACAGAGCCCCGGTGCAGCTGTGGTGTGCAGGCAGCACATCCCTGGCGAAGGCCAAGAAGCAAAGCCCAGCCTGGTTTTTCACCTGATCCCATTGAGCAAAACTGTTCTGAGTCGCTGTTGCTGAGCACTGGCCCGTGGAGGCCTCACGAGCACTTTGTGTCCAGGCTGCCACAGCTCCAGTGGCAGCCAGAAAGGGACAGGGAATGTTCTGTTGTGCTTGCTGGGCTCCTCGCTGGAGAGAGCCACTGCTGAGTGCATCCATTCTCTGTACTGATGGCACCGAGGTTTGGTGACAATTTTATTAGATGTTTCACAAAGGATAAGAATCAGCACAACAAAACATTGAAGTATTTGGTTTTAATATTTGTTTGTGGGTATTCTGTTAATATTTTAATGCAAAATGTTTCTGACCAGTGCTTAAGAACTACAAGACAATGTGAAATTCATGTTTGATAAATTAATACTGTATGTCACTCGATGTGTTACTTTAGTAAATTGTTTTATTTCTTTACAAAATAAGTACAAATAAGGGAGTATGTTTTCACACAAATTGGGGGTATTTACCAGTATGTACAGAAATCATCAAAATAACGTAACTCTAATAAACACAAGGCCTTTATAAACAATATGTACAAATTATCAATACATTTAAAACATAACTTTACACTTCCTGGCCTTAAATACCTTATGAATAATCTTTTGGCTAAATAGCAGCAGTATAAATTTTCTTCTGCTTTTCATAAACCTTAAAAAATAATTAAAACCTTTGTTTTTAAAACTATTGGACAAATAGTTCTATTTGTGCTTTCGCTATGGTTTCCCATCAAAAAAAATATTGCCTCAAAAAAGTGGCAAGCATAACATAGTAAAAACAGAGAAGATAAATAAGCAAAGTCTCCCTTCTGTGGTACTGTAACACTGTTAACTCTGCAGCACAGCCCGTGCTCCTGCTGTTGTGTCCCACTCGATCCCCATTGCTCAGACTCACACCGGCTTCCGTGTGGGCCCAAATTCTGCTTCAGCAAAGCATGTACAAGGCGTTCACCCCACCTCCGGGTACTTACAGCTGCTCCTCGTGCTCAAAGCCACGTGCCTGCTCAGGAGCCTCTCTGCTGGAGCCGTGCTCCGTGTCCAGGGCAGGTGTCCTCATCCAGGTGCCACCGGGCTCACCGCTCTCCCCACTCCAGGAGTGGACACGGCCCCCAAAACCTTTACAGCGACTTTAAAAACCCATATAGAATACTCTAAAATCTTTACCCAACAATATTCTCTTTTAAAACCACCATTAAACCATACTATTTGCAATAAATAAATTAACATTTTTTAGAAAATAAAACCCAACTTTGAATCTTGTTACTAACCAGCTGCTACAAATGCGCAAAAGGTTGATGAGATTTAGAAAACAACTGGAAGCAAGTCAACGTAACTCAGCTGAGAGCCTGCACACAGATTTCATACACTTAAGATTTGGTTCAGCAAATGGCTCAGGAAATGAGCTGTGCAGTAAAAGCAAAAATTCTAAATATATAAAATTTGTGGGAGTGTGCAGTGGCTAGTCTCTTGGCTGTGCAAAAATATTGCCATTACAACTAAGTTAAATAGCAACAGGTATCACCATGGTTAGTGAGACAGTGCTAGCAAACTGAAAACAAAACAAGCCCAGCACCAGGAGTGAGCACTCAGGTGAACACCAAGGCTGGGAGCCACTCCTGTGAACCTGTCCCAGGCCTGGCCAGGAGATGGTTTAGGTGAGCCATTGCATTTGTGTAACTTCAACACCAGCTACTTCAGCCTTACCTAAAATGGCCAGATGGAGCAAGACCTTGATGTTGATTTTATTTGTGGAGTTAACGTTTTAAAACCTTTTGCACATTTTTTTGTGGTTTTTATATATATATATATATGTATATTTTTACATAAAGGGAATTTATTGCATGTGTCTGACAATTTTACAAAACAAAATTACTGGAACATTGACTTCTGAAAAAAATAGAAGGCACATTAAAATGACAGCTTCCAAAGCAAGTTGAGCTTCTGTGGAGCACTCGGTAGGACTGTTGGCTTTACTTCAGCAGAGCTCGGTAGAGCAGGAGAGAACGGCTCATGTCCCGCTCCTGTTCCATGTAGAAGATGAAGTCCCTGAGGTTGACTCGTGTGATTTTCTGCCGGGGGTACTGGCGGGGGGAGGCCGTGGCCAGCCCGGCCTGGCTGCCCCCGCACGCCCCCACGCCCTGCAAGAGAACAGCACAGCTGAGTGCTGCAGCAGGCGTCCTGCTCTCAGGCTGCAGGACCTGCTGCCAGCTCCACTGCACCCCACCAGCCTCCTCCTGACACATCACATCGGGGCTTTTTTACTGGTATTATTATTTTTTCTGTTCTGAGTCTCAGCGAGTTAACCTGAGTAAAGGCCTCAAGTGCAAACATGTGGGGCTAAACCTTGTTCACTTCCAGCTCAGGACAAATCCACCCTGCTGCAGTTCACTGGAGATGCATCTGACCAGTTTAAGTTCAGGAACAAAACTATTTTCAGCAGATAAGGTCATTAACAAATCAAATGTGTGCAGGATCCTGCTGCTCATGCAAGGACTGGGAACAGGTGAGTGGAATATTGGGAGTCCCCACAGGGACCCCAGTTCTCCCCTCTGGGTCTGCTGAAGAGAAAGGCTCAGCAAACAATCAAAAAATTACATAGAAAACACATTGAGTGATGATAAACACAAACATTAGTATACTGGTTTCGAAAGCTATGTTAAATAATTATATATTTTTAATTGGTTCATTGGTACTGAATTACTGAATTACATCCTGGCTTTATATATAGAGAGAAAACCCTTAAACTGGGGCTGGGAACACTGTGATCTGAATATTTAGAAAAGGAAAGGACATAATTACAGCCCCTGCAGTCTCATGGAGTTTAAACTGAAACCTGATGCACACACATGTTCAGTTGTTTTTACATCCATAGGAGTCCATTGTTTTTGTTAATTCCAATTGGTTTCTAGCAAAATAAAGTGTTCTAACTCAGAAAAATAGGTTTTAATCTCTGAAAAGATTTCAGCTATTTTTCAAACCTAAGAAATCTGGTAAAATTTTCTATACTTTTAATATCCCAAATTTACTTACTGCTGCTCAAACCTGTCTTTCTTTCCCCAGGAAATACTTATTCTAGGATCTTGACTCCAGACATTAAG